GCCGGTTCTTCCTCACAGGCGGCACCGAGAGGCACAGAGCCCCTTTGGGTGAGAGCGGGATGATGGAGGAGTCCGAGGGGGACCTTCCCATCCAGAAAGACACCGTTCTGCCCGAGTTCTGCTGTCACCGCCGCACCGTGACGAGCCCGTGAGTCTGTCTGCTGTGCCGTGAGGGTCAGTTTGTTTGGCTGGTAACGCTGCTAGGGCTAAAATATCTCCCTAAGAGCAAGGTTTTTTCCCTTCTGTGTAGCAGAGGAGAGACACAGTGGTTGACAGGCGGTGAAGAACACTCTGCCCTCTGAAAACGGCCATTTTAGTCGGTTAAGCGCCTCATTTTAGCTCCTCTTGGGTTGTAGTCATCACTTTCATGTTTTATAAAGCCAAGCAGAAGACATATGATTTTTCAGGTGACTATGTCCCGTTTAGGACTCACACTGAGGACAGCGTTTTCAAAAGCAGTCATGAGATCCTATTTTGTCTAAAATCAGCCAGGATTCACGTGGAACATAGCACTCTATCCACAGAATTCTTCAGAATTTCCTCTGTTTTAGTGCCTCACGAAGATCTGGCCCTAGCTGTGAATGTGACCTACCTCTGAACACAGAACTCTGCAATATTAACACTTAATACTTCACAGCACTTAGTCCTTGCTGTGTATAACTATTTTTATATTTTCTTAGCTGCATTCAATACTGTTCCTTTAGTAATGGTTTACTGCACAGGCAGATTGCAGTTTTATTTTTTCTTTAAAACCCCTCTGCTGCTCCACAGAATAAGGTTGGCAACGTGGATGTGGAGACTGAGTGGTGCCTGCCTTATTAGGCTGTATTTTGTTCTTTGGCCAAAACTCCAGGAACATCTACAGACTTTTATACCAGTTTGTGTCAGATTTAGAACTCGCTTCTGCAGCTTTGGATGATTCAGGGGGAAGGAATTATTTTTAAAACTCCTTTTTAAGCTACATTTCCAGTAGCGTGATGGAAATGTTTGTTTTCTAGGGTGGAAGTGCTGAGATCTTTGGTGGCTTTGACTGACCCTCTTCAGGGGAAGCTGACTTGGTCTCAAGAGAAAGTGAGTGACTAACAGACTTTCCATGTCTGTTTACTGCATCTTTTTAGGAGAGCCTGTAATTAGGTAGTTGAGCTTATTCTAATAAAATGCTAGAACTGTTTCTGTAATTCACAGTTTTTGCTGAAATTCACTGGTATTTTTGTGGCTTCTCTGTCGTTGACTTCCATCACTGATAGCATCTTTTATATCAGAACATGATGATTATTGGGCCAGGAGGTCCTGTGATAGATGCAACAAAGGACCATAGTGGCCCAAAGGAAGTGTGAGAGATGGGGAGGTGTTTTTTGGACTTGTGCAGTGTGATAAACCCAGGGTGTGATTTGGAGAGGTCTTTGCTGTCTCTTGGAAGACTACAGGGTGCTCAGATTTGCTCACAAACTTTATGCTCATGTTTTAGTGATTTGACCTGCTGCAAGCTTTAATGAAATTTGGTGTGCAGGGCCATTTAATTTCCTCATGTTCTTGTAGTGAGTCTTGTGTAAGGCTTTAATTTTAAGGTGTTTTCTTTCCTTAAACAATATTTTTATTTCAAGCACAGTTGCTTAGGAGCCCCTGAAGCTCAGCAGCCTATTACATTGCAGTACATTGTTATATATATTATATATTATATAGTACATAGTATTTTTCACAGCACAGAGTGCTAGTTTCATACCTGGCTCTCATTTCACAGCTGAATTTTTGTGTTTGTGTGTTCTAGGCACTGAACATTTGGAAAACTGCATTCACAGCTGTTCCTGGGCCTAGGTCAGAGACCTGTGTGGAGTGAGAGCCTGAGGATGGGAGATCAGGATGCAGGTGAACCCTTCCTGGGGACAGCCACTGACTCTGAGGGAGCTCTGCCCTCGGACACCGTGTCACTCAGTGATTCTGACTCTGATGATTTGGGGTTAGCAGATGAAGCAGAAGTTGATACGATATCTCCCGAGGAGCCATCTGTAGATGATGGGGATGGCAGGTCAGGGGAGACCCCTGTCTCTTCAGACAGCACTCACAGACCTCCTGTCCAGCCTTTCCACCTGAGGGGCATGAGTTCTACCTTCTCTCTCCGGAGCCAGAGCATTTTTGATTGCCTGGAGGAGGCAGCCAAGTTGTCTGTGCCCTCCCTGCCTGAAGACAATGTTATTGATGGGAGGTTTAAGCGTCCACTGCCTCCAACCACAGTTTCAGGTAGTGTGGTCCCAGAGAGGCTGGGAAAGCAAACCAGAGCAGTGCAGGCTCCCAAAACCTCTCCTGCAGTGCCTGACTACGTGGCACACCCGGAGCGCTGGACCAAATACAGCCTAGATGGGGTTTCAGAGTCCAGTGACAAGACTAACAGGGCAGTGGCCATGGAATTTCTGTCAGGTTTGAAGAAAAGAGGGGAGGAACAAAGCTCAGCTACCCAAGAGAGCTACACCCCATCCTTCAACCAGGACCCTTCCAGCTGTGGAGCTGGGAGGATTGTCTTCACCAAACCAGCAAAAAGGGGTGTGGATGGGCTGGAAAAGAAAACCTCAGCTGGGGAGGATGATAAGAAACATGTGAAAACAGATCTGAAAGGAAAATCTTTCAAGAAGACTGATGACTCAAGGGAGGAAGATAAGGTTGAGCTGGGACACTTAGATAGTGGCAATGGGAGGGCAGCAGAGGAGGAGGAGGAGGGTGTGATGCTGGGGGCTCTGAACGCAGCAGGGCAGGGCAGTGCAAGGTTCAGTGGCCCAGGGGAAGAGCCACTGGTGGAAACAGTTGGGTTCCATTGCAGTAAGAAGAAGAACAGAAAGAATTTCCGACCTAAAGCAGATGATGAGGGGGAGGAGGAAGAGTCCTGAAGAATGGAGCACGTTGGAGATGTCCAAGGACTTGGATTGTCTTTGGATGTGGTTTTTTTAATTTGACTTTTGTTTTTTTTTCTGGTCTGGAAACCATGGGGTAGCATTTTTGTTTAGCAGTCTCAGTCGTAGCCACCAAGAACAACTTGTATTGTTAGAAATTAAGCTGCCTAAAATACAGCCCAGGCTTTTTCTTGGTGAGAAGTCTGTGGGCACAAGATAGTCACACTTGGATGTTCTTTGGGATTCAATAAACTTCCACTTGTATCTCAATTTCTTCATTTCTTTGAACCATATTGATTAATCCAGCTATAGGAGTTTTAACAAAGAGTTTCTTTGATTTGAGAGTTGTCTTGAAAATCCAGAATGTGACTCTAAGCTTACTTGTTATAACTTCACCTTCAAGTCTTGTATTTTAGACTCTAAAATTCACCTTTTTACCATTTTCAACCATTTCACAACGTGTAGAGAATCGCCTTGGAGGGTGAATCACCTCATATGATGGATCCCATTGTAATGAATGTCAGATATATTTGGGTTTTTTTGTTGAAAGATTAAATTCTCTGAAAGGTTATATGATTTGAAACTCAAATTAGGTCAGTGTTCTAAATGAACCAACCCCAGTGGTAGTCTTTGTGACTGTGTACAGGCTGCTGCCAGGAGGTGCTGGGTGTGTGATGGGTGTTTCCTACCAAATAATGCAGCGTGGTGCAGACTTGCTGGCTTTGGAATTTCTGCTTTTCCAAGGAAAACCAAAATTCCATCACTGGTAGTGGGGTCCCTGAGGTCTGGGACATGGCTGAGAAACTGGCCACGTGCCTATTTTATGAAAACATCATAACAAGATTATCTTTTCATAAAAAGCTCTTGTTGGAAAGGTTTTTTTTTATCAGATGTGACCCTTTTTTTATCTTTATGAGGAATCTTTTTCCACAACCTGCATTTATGTTGTGTGGGAGCAGTGTTAGGAGGAAATGAAGTTCAGATGAAGTTTTATCACAAAGACCACAACACAATCCTTCCCCCTTCTGATGATGCTTCTATTATTCCAAAGAAATCTCCCTTTACAAGGTGGCAGTAATATTCATTTTATTGCTGGGTCTTTTCATACAAAACCCTAATAAAGCCAGCTAGCTTTTGTGTGCTAAAAATGCCCGTGGCAGTTTAAGGATAATGAAAAAAATAACAAACAGGCCCAAATCTCTAGTTTGTAGGAAAATTCTTGCTACACATTAAAGTCTCTAAGTGATACTCGGGTGTTTTGTTGTTTTGGGTTTTTCTCCTGGCCAGTGAAAGGGAAAAGGAAAATGAAATGAGAGAATCACTTGGGTGTAGCTGTGGTGGTCCAAGGTCAAGGCCCCATCTCCTTTAAGGGCTGGGGGCTGGCTGTGGGAGGGTCACCTGCTAAGTTTGGACCTTCTAAGGAGGTTCTAGTTCCTGGGGCTGAGTGAGGAGACCTCAACGAGGAGCCCTCAGCAGTGAGCCACCAGGAGAGGAACACCTCAGAGGAGCCAGCGTGGGAAGAGGTAGGTGGTGAGGGGGTTGTTTGGGGGCTATAAGAACTCCAGGAGCTGTATGGATTGTCATAATTCCATATCCCAGGCCCCTTCCTGTGGAGACTTTCTTGGTTTCCTCTCTAAGTGACACCAGCTTGCTTGGCCAAGGAAGTGGCTTGGGTGTTAGCCCATAAACAACCACCCTCCAAAAGAGACTCCCTTGAACAGAGAAACCTGCAGAAATGAGCAGTGGTGAGGATGGATTGGGGAGAGAACTGAAGGCAGGTGGTGGTTAGAAAACAAGGTGGTGGAGTCACCCTGGAGAGAAGGTTTTTAGTGGGATTTGTGGAATGAGTTTTGGAGAAAGGACCGAGTGACACAGGAGCAGAAGGGAAGAAAGCCCAAAAAGCTGAAGGAGGAAGACCAAGAAACCCTCAACAGAGTCAAACTTCAACAGCACTTGGCATAAAGGCTTTTGGAGCTTGGCAGGACCGAGTGACACAGGAGCAGAAGGGAAGAAAGCCCAAAAAGCTGAAGGAGGAAGACCAAGAAATCCTCAATAGTGTGAAACATCAACATCAACATAAAGGCTTTTAGAGCTTGGCCTTGAGGATTTTACTTCTACAGTAGTTCAGTAGGACCAAGGGTTTAACCTGAAGAAATGAGAAGAAAATCTAATTATCAATGTAGATGATGTCAGCCTCGGACTGATCTGCAGGCTTTTCACTTCTTCCTGGCACAGGCACTTCTGTGTTGGCATTCCTCACACCTGCTGGGGTTGTAAAAGCCATGGGCTTGCTTAAACACCTTAGGGTGAGGGGCACATAACAGTAATTGCTTAAGAAACCTTAAAATGTTCACAATAATCCACAATAAAAAGACACTTTAGATTCTGTTACTTTGCATTTGCTCAGTAAATGATAAAAAAAAATGGTTTCTTTATTTTTGCAGCTATTGAAGTTTCTGATTTTTGTGCAGTCTGGAGAACATGCTACAGGATGGGTTTTCTTCCTGGAATGTTGATAATGGAGCACTTTCTGTATATATTTTATAAGTTTCTAACAGAATTAAGTCAAGTTTGAGGTTAGTCTGAATCTGAGTGACCTGAGGTTTTGTCATGTCAGAACTTTGCTGAGTTTCCAGCTAGTTCTTTTTCCCTTGTAGTATCTGCTCATTTTATGGTTTTTTTTTGAGGGCTTTTTGTGTAGTAGAAATAAGCAGATATTGAAATAGATGATTAAGAAGAATATCCAAGACCTTTATTGTGTTGGATATCCTGAGCTGGCTGAGAAATAGGCTCTAATGTTTAAAACTCCCAACAGTGGAGCCCTGAGATACAGGAGAGATTCTTCACTGACAGAAACAAAGCTGTTAAATCTATTTTTCAAAAGATAATGTTTTCATTCTAAAGTATGAATACTCTGCTCCTTGTTTATATTCCCATTATCTCCAGGTACCTCCCTATGTGGTTCTTTTCCCCTCTTTTTTTTTTTTTTATTTTTTAAAACTAAATTATTTAACTGTATCAATTAACTTTTCAACAATCCTTTTCAATACTTACCTGTATTTGGAGCTGGTTGGTTGCCCAGGAGGTTGGTTTTGGTTAAAACCTCTGCCACAGAGGAGATAACAGCTGCACAGTAGTAAATCTATAAAATAGGTGGTGATTTTCTACATCAGCACTCTGGCCAGTCTTAAATTTGCAAGAAAGATAATTTAGGCAGTAAACTGAAGCAACATCAGAGATACCATATATTATATTTACTTTTTTTAAAAAAAAATAAATAGTTGAACTATCTTGGAGGAAGATTAGTATTAAATTCCTTCCCCATTTTTTTATGAGTATATTGCATTATCTCAAGCTGGCTGGCACAAAAATTAAAGCATTTCTTGTGCATTCCTGTTGGACCTGGATTTGGTGTCAACATTCTTTATTGTATTGCCTGACTCTTTTTTTTTTCCAGGAAGGCATAAAATTGATAAGAAAGGGGAGGGAAAATGCAGTGGGGCTATTAAGATAAGGGACCTTCAGCCAGGCCAAAATGACACTGGAGAGTTCTAGGAACAAAGAAAACAATAACAGTTGTGCTACGTAGCACATGGTAATGCTGAGAGTTCTCAGACTCTTTAAAAACTCTTTGTTTATGTTGCAAAAGCTTGCCATCCAAAGCTCAAGGTAGGGTTTCCTGCCATTATTTGTGTGTTAGACACTTCCCTTTGAGATGCTGGCCTGTCGTATCTAAGAAAATGAGAGAAATTGGTGTCCAAGATTAGTCCAGGTCAGATGAGACAGAAAATGAATATTTTCATAGCTGGTGGTTTTAAAGAAAGAAAAGGTTGGGAGAGGGAAGAGAATGGAGGGTCTGCCAAAGAACCATTACCTGAGAGAATCATGGTGGAATCCTGAAGGCGCTGTTAATGCCAATAAAAGTTTTACTTACCTGGGCTTCCATAACTTTAAACCTCTTCTCTTGTTCTTTCAGCCCACTCAAATATTTAGCCAAATTATCCACCCTGTGGAAACAAAGCGGAGACGCTGAGAGATCGAGGAGCCTCAGAAGGAATCCTGAAACACAAGCCCCAGGCAGCTGGATCCATGGCCCCTCCCTGGTGCTTATGTGCTGCTGAGACACCCCAGGGCCCCCCTAAAAGTTAAAAAGTCCTTTTGAGGTGTTCCTGCAGGTATTTATTGAGCAGAGCAGCATTTTGGGGACACTGATGCTATTTCCCTATTCAGTTCCCCTCTAACAGGTTACTTTCCATTCAGGTCTATATGTCAAAGCTGCTGCTGGGGGGGGGGGTCTGATGCTTTTTGGGATTGGTTCAAGGCAAAGTTCAAAGAATTCATTTTTGGGGGTTTCCTAAGATTTCAGGTACACATTGCAACCACCTAAGAGCAAAGATAAAAAGCTACAGGTTTAGTGGTGCTCATCTGAACCTTTTCCAGGCTGTGTGGTACCTGAAATGTTCTGAATCCTCACTTATCCTGACTTCTCCCATCCAAGCAGTACTAATAATTCTAAATTATTATGAATTAAGAGTTATAATAAACTATGTAGATTAGAGGGAGAAGAGACTTTTCCAAGAGCATACTCAAGTACACTGTCCTGGTCTCCAGCTCTTCTATGAGTTAGACAGATGGAGGTTTGTTTTGAAAGACAGCAAACACAGCATAAGAACATTTCCTCTTGTTGTGATAACCTTCACACGAGTTATGCCTCTATTTAAAGTCAGGTTTATCTTAAAAGAGCCAAAGCAGGTGCTAAAAACTTCTTTAAAGAATGATTTGCTGTCTGGCTTTCAGCCTTGCCTTGGATGTTTCTGTTTTCCCTGCATGTAACTCACCAAAAGGAATAAACCTCTAAATAATAACTTGGAACTTTTTCTTTAGAATTCTAAACTGATTTAAGTGATATTCCTAGTGGGGATATATTTTACAGCAGTCCTTAAATGGCAGCCCAGTTAATTAAATACAATTTTAGAGCCACTATCATTAATTTCTTG